TTTTTTTTACATAAAGGGCACCGGCCTTGAGATATCATTGAACTGACCGGCCCCAGGTAATTCAGAATTATTTTTTCTGTTTATCTGGTTGCATCTGGATTCAAACACGGGTCGGACCAACGGGCCTAGCTCAGTTTGTTGACTCCCTGTCAGCATTCCCCTGGATAGAGCACAGGGTTGTTATTCTTATAGCACCTCCAAGGCTTGATACATACATGATGACCCTAGGTTCTTTCCAGGGGGGGGTAAGACAGTAGTAAGGCCACAAGGTCGTAATTCCAGTGCCTGCTTCGTTTTTATTTTCTCCTCTGTTACTCCGTCCTCTGTCATTTATGTCCCCTGTCTCCTTTCAAAAAAAGAAAAGAAAAATCTGATCCCATTAGAATTCAAACACAGGTCTGTTTATCAACAGTTAGAAGGGTGTGCCATTCAGCCACATGGGCTGGGTATGCACTCCTGCTCGTCTGATACATTGACTACCCATCCCTCCAGAATGCGCTACTGCTCTGTTGTCGTGTAGGGCTCGTACCACATCTTGGAGAATATGTATGTGTCGTTATCCTAGGCTTATTACACTTCCTTCTGCAGTTACCCCGCCTGGATCTGCTGACCACGGCTGCCTCCAAACCATCATCAGCAAAGATAGTGGAAACCGACACTAAATGCATTGGCAATTTGGCCGCATGTGAAAACTCAAATCCAATGTGCGGTGAAACCAATCCACTTTTGTCAATGGTAACGAACTCGGGCTCTGTTGAAAACACTAAATGAGACTGTGCCCTTCCCCCCACGCCCTCCCCCCCCCTCTGCCCCTCCCCTGCCCGCCTGTTCTCACTTCCTGGCACCGAACTTGGCACCAATCCTTCATGGAGATCAAGAGTTCTGTCTTCCCTTACTGTACAACTTTACCGCTTTGAACTGACTGAAAATCATGTTTACGTACGCCATTGATGACCTCCTGTCTGTTATTGCATGAAGGATCCTCTTCCTGATTGGTTAGTTCTGTGCTTGACTACAGTCTTTCACTGAGCGGAACGTGCAACCATTATCACTGTATCTGGCCTGAAAGTTGCCCCAAATACAGCTTTAATGACCGTGCACTGAATTCTATTCAGGAGAAAGACGGTAGGTTGCCTTGACTGCTCGTCAGAATTTGTGCAAAAAGTTCCCGGGAACTCAGTGAAATCTTCCTCCTCCTACCGACAAAGTATGTGTTACACACTGTGTCACACGGGCCCGGTTAGGCCCGACAGATAGGGGTCCGGAGGCCGGTCCAGGCCCAAGGCCGGACCTTTAAATCGGTAGCGCCATTTACAGGCCCACCGGTTGGCCTTTAGGCCACATTCAGGACCAGACCAGACGGGCAGGCCCAAACGACGTTACCATTGGGCCTGGCGGCGCTCTTGAGGCTGCCGCCCGCTGGTCTGATCTGAATCGTCACGTTTGACGATTCAGATCACGGCTCGGCCTCGCAGCATAGAGGCCGGCCTTGCCACACCGGGAGGCCGCCTGTTCAGGCACACTGGAGCGAGGAGCAGCGGAGAGAACGCTGCGCTATTTAGTAGAGCACAGCGCCAGGGACTGCAGCGCTAGTTTAGCGCACTGCAGTCCAGGAGGAACGAGGAGGGGAGGAGGACTTACCTGCAAGTGGAGCGCCATAGCTCCAGCGACCTGCATCCGGACTCCCACCACCGCCAAGACGCCAGCTTGCAACCGCAGGTTTGGTCTGAGGCCCTCTCCTCTCCTCTCCTCTCCATCTTCTTCTCTCCATCCCAGTCTTCTTCTTCTTCTTCTTCTTCTTCTTCTTCTTCTTTTCAGACTTCTTCTTCTTCTTCTTCAGACTTCTTCTTCTTCTTCTCTTCAGACTTCTTCTTCTTCTTCTTCNCTTCTTCTCTTCAGACTTCTTCTTCTTCTTCTTCAGACTTCTTCTTCTTCTTCTCTTCAGACTTCTTCTTCTTCTTCTTCAGACTTCTTCTTCTTTTTCAGATTGGAGACTTGATACGAGTTGGACAGAGATCAGTGTTGGGCTTCGGTGGTAAGAGGCTGTGATACTTACCGGATTCGAGACTTGGGATTGATACTCGGCGGCATCACAGATTGGACACCGGTTACATCAGGACTCTGTACCTCCGACATTGTCCACGACATTTTGATCTTGTTCGATGACATTTTGGACTACCATATCGGTGACCTACTGCATTCTATCTCGGTGACATCTGACGCTGCCTACATCTCCCACCTCCTTCGTCTCTCCTCCCACCTTTCATCTGTGTATGGTTGTACGGGGCCTGAGCATCGTCTATAATTGGCTCAGACCCCACCATCTCACGATTGTTTGTGTGTTGAGTGATATCTGCGTGAGTGCAGTCTATGCGAGTCAGTCCATTTATCAGACTTCCGCTGCATACATGCTCACCCTATATTGGTTGATCTTTGGTTCTGCTCATACTTGTTGAAGTATTCACTAGTATGCAACAGTATGCGTCTGGTTGCAGTGGAGGTATGATCCTTCCTCCTTCACGCAGCCAGGCTAACACTGTGATCCCTTCCTCCTTTCGAAAGTATGTGGATAGGTTAAACACTATGCAACTGTGTTGCTGATTCCATGAACAGAGCTGGAGAAATGGTGAGTGAGAAGTGTGAGGGAGCAAAGCCATACATAACACTTGGCTCACCGAAGCGGGAAAAACAAGTGCGATGCTGTGCACCGGAAAATACATGTTTGCTGCATACTGACTATCTGTGTGAATCCTCTGTTCTATTGAAAGCATGAGCCATAGACTAAGGAGTCTGGTTTCTAAAGAAGAAAAAGGTGCGCTTACCTACTCGGATCACTGAATATCCTGATGGTGGACATTGCAGGGAGACATACAGACAGCTGATAAGCTTTATCAGGCAGGGATTGAAAAGTTTGAAGCTATGTTAACTGTTGATCCGAAGCAGCCGAACGGTAAGTGATTGAATGCTCCTAACCCCCTTTTTGAGTGTCTACTAAGAAGATTGTAGACAATGTACAGGAGTTTTCATTACCAAAAAAACAACTATGGCTAATGTGGACCTGGATACCGGACTCGTACAGACACAGGTCCAGGGGGTGCCTAAATATGCGCTCTTTTAGTTCAAAGATATGTGGCAATATATTATATATCGTCAAACAGTACATATGCCCGGTGAGCCATAGGCATAGCGGGAGAAGAGGAGAACAAACGACGGGCTGTGACATACTATTTCGTTGGAGTTTCACCGACTCATCAGGAGGCTGAACCCTCTACAGTCTGCAGAGCCCCCTGTAATGAACCTCCCAGTTCACCACCAATAAGTGCACACAATCACACACCGTGCACAGATGCGATTACACGGAGTTCACACTGGAGGCCAGAGAGATGAAAACCAGGTAAGCGCAGCTTTAGAATTCCAACAAATTATCATACAAGCAATTAAGAGTTCCAGTCACCAGCGCTCAACAACGCAGATCCAAGAAACCAGTATCTTCATTCAGGTAAGTATCTCTTTCATTGCTCTTCTCTTTCCTCTCTCAGTCTTCTCTCTGTCTACTACCTCCCTGTGTCTTCTCTCCCTACTTACATGCACTCACAATCTCTACTACTCAAGGACCAACTCTGAATACACCCACTGCTAACTCTACTAACCCCTCTGAAGTCTACCACTGACCACTAGGCACTGGCGCAGCTATGGCTGTCTTCCCTCTGCCAACGCTGGGCAACTATGGCTGCCCCCTTCCTCTCCCTCTACTAGCGCAGCTCCCTGGCTCAGCGCTTCACCTCTCACAATAGCGCACAAGTGCACCAGCACTTCCACACTTCATGCGAATGAGCAATCTGCCGAATGAGGAGGCTGGCCAGTCCATATATTGTCTTGAACTGAGCTTCAACTCGTGCCGGCCTCTGCTTTGACTTGGTTCTGGTACCACATCCCTACGGCATGTTTGCTTCCGAATATATCAGGGCCTGGTACCTTTCCCAAATTTTCATTGGTGTGCTGCTGCTTGGGCCTGTGAGTCACGACTTTTCGATTGTGGCACATGGCTTTTGACTATGGTTTGTGACTCCTGCCTCTGGGACACGACTTTTGCCTGTGGAAGTGTCTTTTGCCCGTGAGATGTGACTTTCCAATATGACTTTTCATTATGAGGCGTGATTTTTGCCCCTGAGATGTGACTGTTCGCCGGGTGCCTGTTGGACTTGACCCCTAAGGTACCCGACTGTGACTTCTGTGAGACTGATCGACTTGGCCTTTGTTGTCCCAGGCCTTTGACCCTGAAACTCGAATTTGGGGTCTGAATCGTGAAAGGCCTTTGCCTCTCGACGGCCTAGTTTCGAGGTCCCCCGAGGAAGTTATCAACTTTATCTGTCAATTATGTTAATTCATCTCTTAGCTCTATCATAATAAGACACAATACGCAGTGCCGTCTCAATTTAGTTCATCTCTTGTGAACCAGTGATCTTCTGAAGGTCCCTGATAGGCAAATCTAACCTTATACTGTTGATGTGGTCTACCCCTATGCCAGCTCCGTAAAAATCTTCTCCAACAATCCGATCCGCATCATATTTCCCATCCATGTCTGGGGGAATAATTGATCTGCCAGTTGGGAATAGATCATTACTGACACAAGGGAGCAACTTTGATGCATGAAACACCGGATACATATGCAAATGTGGAGGAATTTCAGCAACATAAGAAGGACCATCCACATCTCACATCACATCAACAATCTGTCACAGTCCTCTATAAGCAGGCAACAATTTCTGGGAAATGTTCTCCTCAGGGAGAAATTCTTTTGACTTTACCCAGACCAAGTCTCCTACAACAAATTGCGAGGGCCTGCAGTGGTTAGCCTGTTCTATCATCTGATGTTGTGCCTTACTGTTACATACTTCAATGAGTATGGGCAGAACCAAAGATCAACCAATTATAGGATGAACATTTATGCAGCGGAAGTCTGATAACAAACTGACTCACATAGACTGACTCACACCAACTGACTTACATGGCATCACTCCACACACATACAATCATGAGATGGTGGGGTCTGGGTCATTTATAGACGATACCCAGATCCCGTACACACATAMWCAGATGAAAGGTGGGAGGAGAGACGAAGGAGGTGGGAGATAGATCACACCGATAGGTCACAAAGATAGAGTCTGATATGTCTCCGAAATGGTAGTCCAGAATGTCATATAACAAGATCAAAATGTCGAGGACCAAAGGTCACCAATGTCGGAGATAACAGAGTCCAGATGTAACCGGTGTCCAACTGTGATGCAGCCGAGTATCAACCTCAACAATCTCCAAGTCTCCAATCAGGTAAGTACCACAGTCTCGT